TATATATATATATATATATATATATATATATATATATATATATATATATATATATATATATATATATATACAGTTGGAGTCTAACTGATTTATTTTATCTTTGCCATGATGACAGTAAATAATATTAGACTAGATATTCTTCAAGACACTTCTATACAGCTTAAAGTGACATTTAAAGGTTTCACTAGGTTAATTAGGCAAGTTATTGTATAATGATTGTATAAAAATTTTAACTGTTTTTATTCTAGCCAAAGTAAAAAAAATACACAAGACTTTCTCCAGAACAAAAAAATATTATTTTTACATTTTTAAATGTTTTAAAATAAGCTTCTCCTCACCAAGGCTGCATTAATTAATTAATTTATTTATTTATTCAAAAAAAAAAAAAAAGAAAAATTGTAAAATTGTGAAATGTTATTGCACTATAAAATAACTGTTGAAAAGTATAGTTTATAGTTTTACTTAATAATTTATTCCAGTGATTTTACTGATGAATTTTCGGCTCCATTACTCCAGTCTTCAGTCACATGATCCTTCAAAATAACTCTAATATTAATAATAATAATAAAAATAATTATTATTAATGGTAATAGTAATAAAATCAATAATGAATGAACAAAATTTTCTATTTGAAAATTCATACATAAGTAATAAATAAATATTAAATAAATAAGTAGTCACCTTTTTTACATTAAATAAATGCCTTAATGAGCAGAATTATATTCTTAAAAAACAAAACAAAGAAAAACATACTTTTTGACCAGTAGTTTATATATATATATATATTTAGTTCACCCCTTGCACATCTCTCTTTTTTAAATTTTTTAAATTAATATTTTCTATGAGATGCTTTACAATAATATATTTGTGTATAATCATTATATTAGAGAGAACTCCAAAAATGAGTAAACCCAAATAAATATGTTGGAGTAAAAATCTAATAAAATTTGAATAAACAGGAAAAATACAGAGAAAAATAAAACATGTATAAAATAAATTAATTTTATCAAAAATAATTTTAAAAAATTAATAAACTAATAATAATAAATTATTTTAATAAAATTTTTTGTCATTTTTTATGCAGTAATTTTAATGTATCATCATTTCATGCCTAAAAATATAAGGTGAACAAACTATTATTTTTATGAATAAAACTGTTTAATAAAACTGTTTTGTTTAAGTTCCAAACATTAGTGACTGCAATCACTAAGAAATGGATAGAAATATTAATTTTCAAAAGTAGATGAACTCATTTATGCTATATTGTTACACTGAATTACATTTGAGTATGTATTGTCTGGTAAACATCATGGGGGAAAATGTACAATTTCAATACCCATTTATTTTACTAATAAAACAAAGATTAAACAGGCTAAATCTGGTTCATTATAAACAATATTTTCAATGTAACTTGAATAAATGTAACAAAAGTAGCCACCATTAAGATTAAAACGTTTACTGGTCAAATAAAACGAATCATTCTTGAAAAGTTGACTTACCTTGTGACTGAGTGCTCCATATCTGGCAAAAAAGAACAACCACAGTTTTATTTATCGACATTTATACACATAATTCATTTGTACAGACTGATAAGTTTACCTGAGTTAGAGTCAGTAAAACTACAACACCTAGTGTCTCCAGCACTCTCATCTTTGACAATACCTGAAATATTTCAAATAATGGTTTACAAGGGTGTCAGAGACAAAAGGTGTTCAGGTTCTGGGCTATAGAGCAGGAACACCTCAGGCGAAAGAGCCAATCAGAGGAGCCGCGGGGCCCGTCCTGTTCTGCTTTCCTCCCTGAGGAGCTGCCAAATAACAACAACAAAAAAAAAAAGCCAAAAGGGAGGAACTGAGTGGTAATCTATATTGAGGGAGAAACTATCAGCACCATCTATCAGTAAGCATTTCATAATGTTGTCCGAATCTTTAATGTATTGGCCTACAGTAAAGCATTGAATAAAAACACAACTTTTTAAAATTATTATTTTATTCTTTTTTATTATACAACAAATTATGTGTTTATTAAAGTCTGGATGAACCGGAAGCTGTTACAGTTTTTTTCTTCTTCGTATTGTAATGCAATTTCTAGAGAAATGGAATATTAAATTAGTAAACAGTGGGCGGGACTTGTTTTTTCTATTGCAAGCTGACTGGATGTAGTAAAGTAGGCGTTTCATGCAGAAAGATGAGGAAAATGGTTTGAGGAGAGTTATTACAGCCTAACAGACTCATCCTGCTCATCATTTCTGTTTGTTGTCTAAACTGACAGCTGGAGGGGCGTGGTTATGTGTGTTAGCCACGCCCACTCAGACAGACCTGCGGCTGGAAGGGCATCTGCTGCGTAAAAACTTGCTGGATAAGTTGGCGGTTCATGCTGCTGTGGCGACCCCGGATTAATAAAGGGACTAAGCCGACAAGAAAATTAATGAATGGGGTTGCCAGTGGATGCCCTTCCGGCTGCAACCCATCATTGGGAAACCAGTGTAAACTCCCGTACCTTTATTTTTTTTCTGAGACTGTAACTGTTTTTACAAATCACATTTCATCAAATGTAAAACTGTTCCAGCATTCCCAGCGGCTCAACAGCATTTCCGGATTCTCAGACTCTGTGAGATCCGAGATGATATTAATAATAGCAAGACTTTTTAGAACTGAAGGGATTAAAACACAAAAGATGAAGATGTGGGAACTATTAGCTGAACTCCACTGGGAATTTACAACACAGGAGATGTGATCATGTGTTTACCGTCAGCATACCTCACGACAAAACACACAACAATGTGATGACGTGATTCATTCCAATATTATGAAACCCTTTTTAAAAAGATATTTTGGTTTTACAAATACATAGTCATTCGTTCACTTCTTCTTTTTTTAGCTTCCTTTCTTTTTTAATCCAGGCTCGCCACAGCAGAATGAACCGCCAACTTATCCAGCACATTTTATACTCAGCGGATACCCTTCCAGCTGCAACCCATCACTGGGAAACATCCATACACACTCACACACTTCGGACAATTTAGCTTACCCAATCACCTGTACAGCATGCATGTGTTTGGACTGTGGGGGAAACAGGAGCACTCGGAGGAAACCCACGCCAACACTGGGAGAACATGCAAACTCCAGACAGAAATGCCAAGTAACCCAGCCGAGGCTCAAAACAGTGACCTTCTTGCTGAGGCGACAGCACTACCTACTGCGCCACTGCGTCATCCAAGAATTTTTTTATGAAGTTATATTAGTTAAGGAGAAAGTCCAACACAATCTCACGGCAATTCGTAACTTTTTCATTTAGTGGCTAATTCGTATGAATTCGTACGATCTAATTCGTACAATTTAGTACGATTTGCTTATCCCCCAATGACGGTTGGGGTTAGGGGTGGGGTCAGGTGCCACGCCTCCTTTTTAAAATCGTACCATTTCGTACGACTGAACTCGTACGAATTCGTACGAATTAGCCACTAAACTGGCAAAACGTAAAATACTTACGTTTTCTCGTGAGATCAGGCTGGAAAGTCAGAATGTGCGGATATTTAAGCACCTTTACCTCAGTCTCCGTCAGCACAACCAACTCCTCAACTTGGCCCCATTCCAGCCACGAGTGCGCCAATGCGGTAAATTGTATCAATATAAATACACATAACATACAAAACTAATCATTTAAAGGAATAAACACATAACATACAATGCCACATCATCATCTTACCTGCGAAGAGGATGGCTGACTGAGGCGAAACTGACGTGTCGATATCTTGAAGCACAGGCGTTTCAAAAATATTTTTTTAAACACCCAAAAATTTTACTTTTCACAGGTATATATATATATATATATATATATATATATATATATATATATATATATATATGCACAGTACAGGCGTCATGGTGGTGCAGTGGGTAGCATGATCACCTCACAGCAAGAAAGTCGCTGGTTCAAGCACCTGCTGGGTCAGTTGTCATTTCTGTTTGGAGTTTGCATGTTCTCCCCGTGCTTGTGTGGGTTTCCTCTGGGTGCTTCTGTTTCCCCCACAGTCCAAACACATGCGCTATAGGTGATTTGGGTAAGCTAAATTGGGCATAGTATGTGCAAGAGTGTGTCCCAGTGTTGGGTTGCAGCTGCAAGGGCATCTACTGCGTAAAACGTGCTGGATAAGTTGGCAGTTCATTCTGCTGTGGCGACTCCTGATTAATAAAGGGACTGAGCCCAAAAAAAATGAATGAATGAACAAATTAATGAATAAACAAATGAATGAATGAACGAATGAATAAACAAATGAATGAATAAATGAACAAATTAATGAACAAATGAATGAATGAATGAACGAATGAACAACTAAATGAATGAATGAATAAATGAATGAATGAATGATTGAATGAATAAATGAATGAATGAACGAACGAACAAACGAACGAATGAATGAATGAACGAACGAACGAATGAATGAATGAATGGTACACACAGCACTACTAAAAAACACAAAATTATATTGAAAAGCATTATCAATTGATCGTGATGTGCTGGGATATTGAATTTAGCCAAATCAATGACACGATAATCATAACCGAATCTTCACACCCCTAGTTATAATAGTTTTTTTCATGTTTGGGTGAACTAACCATTCTTCTTGCTTTTGTAATGAAAAAGTAAAAAAGAAACACACACACACACATCAATAATGCAGGGAATGAATTTTACTGTCAAATAATGTACCTGACAAACATCCGAGGGAAGTTCAATTAACAATTAGATTTATCGTTCCCTCAGAGGCACAGCATATAATGTAGAGGAGTTCAGTTTACTTTATCTCAGATTAACGCTTGTTTCAAAAACTGGAAATTCACCTTTAGTTTCAATTCATGTTAGTTATTCTGCATTGACTATTTCACAATGTGATTGGATATGCACAAAATGGCCCTTCATAATAACTCTTTAACCCAAAATAATAATGAAAATGACTATTAAAGGGAACCTATCATGCCCCTTTGCACAAGATGTAAAAAAATTCTCTGGTGTCTCTATTGTGTGAAGTTTCAGCTCAAAATACTACACAGATAATGCTTTCTAACTCTCTGAAACTGACCCTTTAAGGCTTTGATCCTAATTGTGGTGTTTTGGTGACTGTCGCTTTAAATTCAAATGAGATTGTGCTCTTTTTAATAGAGGGCGGAGCTACAAATGCCTGTGTGTCAGCAAAGGGACAGATTCAAAAACAAGACTAAGAGAGAGATGGTCACTAGTGGGCGGGGCTTTCCCCCTCTGATGACACGTACAAAGGGAGAATGTCAATCAAAGTGTTTCTGCAGACTGATTTCATCAAGTCTGATTATAAACAAGTATAATTAATATTTTTGTATTACTAGAGGATGACTATATTCACACACTGCTGACACACAACTGTGTTTAAGCCCCTTATAAAAGGGATTTTTGCATAATAGGTGCCCTTTAACTGTTTTCTCTGTAATCTAGGGAGTTATTGTGGGCGTTTGGTTTTACTGCAGAACAGAACTCTAGATCAGGCATGTCCAAAATCGGTCCTGGAGGGCCGGTGTCCTGCAAAGTTTAGTTCCAACCCCAATCAGACACACCTGGGCTAGCTAATCAAGCTCTTACTAGGCCAGGGGTGGCCAACCCTGTTCCTGGAGAGTCACCTTCTTGCAGATTTCAGTTGCAATTCATATCAAACACACCTGCCTGTAATTATCACGTGGTGTTCAGGTCCTAATTAAGTGGTTGTAGCAACTGAAATCTGCAGGAAGGTGGCTCTCCAGGAACAGGGTTGGCCACCCCTGTACTAAGCTTTCTAGAAACATCCATGCAGGTGTGTTGAGGCAATTTAGAGCTAAAATCTGCAGGACACCGGCCCTCCAGTACTGAGTTTGGACACTCCTGCTCTAAATTTTTAAATCTCAAAATGGTTTTTTTTGTTCTTAAAATTTTGAGTCTAATGTACATATTACAAATTGTGACTCTTATCTTGTTTGAATGCTACGTAAGAAATCAAATATCTGAATTACAAGCTCAGGAATCAGGTTTTCCCCTCACAAATTGAAGTTTACATTTTAAAGTTTTCTAAATTGAGAAAAAACCTAAATTGTTCCATACAAAAGGTGCAATCGCCATTGTGTTTATTATTTTTCAACAAATTTAAGAAATTCCAATTGTAATGTTATTTCACTAACGTGACCACAACATAATTAAACATCTTAGGCTATACCCCTGAGATAACATTAGGGATCCCTGAAAGTGAAGTTAAATATCCAATAGTTATTGCTTGGTAAACTGAATTCATTGTGTGTTGATCACATACTCTAAAAACTTGCACATTCATCTCAATGAATCTCCAATCATTCAGTGTCACCTCTACAAGCATGTGAAATGATTGACAAAATACATAAAGCTAATTAAATATAAAAACATCAGTGACTGGGTCCCGTTAATCAGGTACTGTCTGACTTCATAAGCCAATACACACAGTAAATGATTTCAGTGTTTTCTTCTGGTTTTCAGGTTGCTTCTTTGGTTTGAGGGGCATTTTCTGATGAATCCGTAAGTCCAATATTACTAGAAGCTGCAGAGAGAAAAAAAGTTTTTTATGAAAGTATATAGAAGTATGAATACTACTAATTTAATGTTTTCTTTTTTTTATTTTAGCTGAAGAAACACACACACTTTGCTTGTTGTACCTCATGGAGATCCATCATTATCTTCTCCCTCGATAGAGTACTGAAAATAAAAATTAAAACATTTTACTTTAAGTAAAGCTGATACTTCATATAGTAACCCAGTGGTCTCCTTGATGCTTAAACGACATCAAAAATCACATTAAAAATGCTAATTGATGTGATGTTTATTGACTACCCTGAAGTCAATCTGACATCCAACATTTGTGTTGAAGGAGTTATGTTTTTTTTTTATTTTTATGCATTAATAGTTTAATCCTTTTTTAATCAAATATATGAACTTATGTTTGTCTGATTAACCTCAAATAACCTTGCTCCACAACAGCTGTGGCTTTGTGTGACTGATAACCAGGGTCGCGTGATAGAAGGGAGAAGTAAAACTCTTGCTCTCAGCAAAATGTTACTACTCTTTCTTTCAGACTGTGCTTGTTTTTTTTCTCCTTATAATTGAACAAGTGGGACCAGGGGATAGTTTTTTGGGGGCTCGTCCGGGATCGGACCTCAGAAAAGGTTGATGAGACATTGAAGAAAAGGACTTTATCGTCAAAAATGGATTACAAGACAGTCTTGTAATCAATTTCTTATATGTTTTTTATGCTAATTTTAGATGTCAATTTGATGTTGTTCTGACGTCAAGGTAGTTTACACACTTTGTAAAGAAACAAAATCCAGTGTAAATCAGTATTTACAAGAATTAATTAGATGAATACAACCTTTCTTAAATTATAATACTCCATGTGCCGTTATTTTGTGGTCAAAAGGGCATCAATGTGTGGATGTCAAATAGACGTCAAGTTTTTAAGATAAAACTGATTTTGCATATTTTTTTTATGTTGTTTTGACATCAGGCTGCCATCATGGGAGTGTTTACTATAGTTTTGCGATGACAAGATAAAAACATAGTCATTCTTACCCATTCCAACACTGCTGCCCACACACGAGACTGCAAGACAGAACACACGCACAACAATCATCTTTAGGTTAATCTCAGTTAGTTATTGCTCCGTTTTGGCACTGTGCGACGGTTAAAAATGCCTGAATGTCAATGCATTTGATTCCAAAACAGCAAGAAGTGGCATTACTTCTTTTTAAAAAAGGAGATTACAACCATTTCACACCAAGACATCTTAAAATCATTTTAAAAAAACAACCCCAAGTCAAAAAAAGTTGGGACAGTATGGAAAACCCACATAAAAAAAGAGAGTAGTGATTTCCAGATTAACTTTGACTTGTGTTTCATTGCAGACAATTTGAAAACAAAATATTTCAGGTTCTTTCTGCTCAACTTCATTACGTTAGTAAATATTCATCCTTGCCTGTCATTCAGACCTGCAACACACTCCAGAAGCAGATGTGACAGGAGCAGTTTAGGGTTATTAATATTAAACTGCTGAAATAATGATGTGATGTGTAACAGGTGATGTCAGCAGGTGATTGTAATTATGATTTGGTACAAAAGCAGCATCCAAGAAAGGTCTAGTCCTTTAGGAGCAAAGATGAGCCGAGGATTGCCAGTTTGCCAACAAATCCGTGAGAAAATGATTGAAATGTCCAAAAACAATGTTCCTCAAAGAAAGAGAGGAAGACATTTGGTTATTTCACCTTCAACAGTGCAGAACATCAGTTAAAGGTTTAGGAAATCTGGAGGAGTTTCAGTGCGTATAAAGAGCTCTAGCCTAAACTGAACTACCGTGATCTCCGATCCCTCAGGCAGCACTGCATCAAGAATCCTCAATCATCTATAAGTGGGCTCAGGACTACTTTGGGAAACTTTTCCACACAAGGGTTCCACACAATTCATTTATGTTGTTCAAACTCAAATCATTTACGGTTAACTTAAAAATTAAAGTGGATTGACTATAAAACAATTAAGCTGTGCCACAAAACAAATCAAGAATTGTGTTGTTCATTTTACATACACAAAAAAAATTAAGTGTTATTAGTTCAAATGACTTAAGCCAACTTAATTCCTTCATGTTGTCCCCACTGTAAAAAAATGCAGGGTTAAATATGTGTGTGTGTATGTATGCATGTGTATATATATGTGTATATATATACATATATATATGTGTATATAT